CCATATCAGATTCTGTTTGGTAGCCCCATATTCAGATTCTGTTTGGTAGGCCCATATTCAGATTCTGTTTGGTAGCCCCATATTCAGATTTTGTTTGGTAGCCCCATATTCAGATTCTGATTGGTAACCCCATATTCTGATTGGTAGCACCATATTTAGATTCTGTTTGGTAACACCATATTCAGATTGGTAGCACCATATTCAGATTCTGATTGGTAACCCCCCATATTCAGATTCTGTTTGGTAACCCCATATTCTGATTGGTAGCACCATATTTAGATTCTGTTTGGTAACACCATATTCAGATTGGTAGCACCATATTCAGATTCAGTTTGGTAACCCCATATTCAGATTCTGATTGGTAACCCCCCTATTCAGATTGGTAGCACCATATTCAGATTCTGTTTGGTAGCCCCATATTCAGATTCTGTTTGGTAGCCCCATATTCAGATTCTGTTTGGTAGCCCCATATTCAGATTCTGTTTGGTAGCCCCATATTCAGATTCTGTTTGGTAGCCCCATATTCAGATTCTGATTGGTAACCCCCCTATTCAGATTGGTAACACCATATTCAGATTTTGTTTGGTAGCCTCATATTCAGATTCTTATTAGTATGACATTTTGTGACATCATTTCTTATAAAAATTATGATTGCTTGTTTTTTATTTACTCAATCTGAGACTGAATCTGAATCTGATAAAAACTTCACCTTCGTTCCATGCCATATTTCTTCAGACTGAAGTGACATTGACATGATACATACCAGGATGTGTTGCTTATCGCTATGGAAACCGAACTCTGTAATATTCGTATTCTACTCTCACTGATGACAGCATCACTATGAGCAGCAGGTGAAAGAACAAGAAAATGACGAAGTCCAAACCTGAAGTTCAAGAGAAAATAATTGTTTATAATAAAATTACCTAAAACCCACAGCATAGGTGGTTTTAATATACTTATATATATAATTTTGAATGAATTATTTTACTAGCTAAATTATGTTTAGCACACTGAAGGCCACACAAATATATTACTATTAATAAGCTATTTGTGTTTAAACTTTCCTTAGTGTGTGAAACCTATAGAATTTCAGGGTGGAATTGAAAAGTGGAACATCAGTGAATGGTTGAGAATAGAATATAATAAAGTTATATTATGACATAATATATCATATCTACCAAATATAAATTATAACCCCATCATATATCATAAAAGATATATAAATATCATAAATCACTTGTCAGAAAAGAAATCTTGTATGATATCACATCATAAATCGTATTCCATAAATCATGCATATGAATCATTTATCATACAAAAATAAAACATATCATATATCACATCTAATTATTTTAATAAGATTGGCAAAAATTTGAAAAATCACACACCATATTTTACAGTTTAAAGGCCACACAAAAACCCACTAATTAACATGACAAAATTGAAAAAAAAAATAAGATACCATACAAATGGAATAAAGTAAACATTACTGAAAATGAAATGAAAAACCACTGGTGATAACTCCCACTAGATTTTAAAACACAGATATACTAAATCTACGCCTACATTGCCTCTACCTAGATGCTTAGACTTTCTATTTTAATCTTGCGCAAAATTGATGGTACACACCACTGCAGTAACATAAACAACTGGTATTATTTTGAACACAAATTATGGTTTTGATATTTTTTGAATGCACGGTATATACATTAATATAATAGTTCAAAAACACTTGTTTACTTTGAGTTCTTGAAAAAGTATTGATAATTAAATCTGAAGATTCACACATATATTTTATATGATATTGTGTCATACATAAGCCAAGAAAAAAAATGTAAAACGTTTCTGGTCAATTTTTTGTTTTCAAAAATCAATGAATACACATTTTTTTTTTACTGCTATGAGAATGTCCTTTTAGTTTGATTTTTCTTAAAAATAGATTCCTTTTCATTGTTTTTTCAAAACAGAACATACACTGCAACACATGCACATGAAAACATGTCATTTTTTTCCTGGACCTTATAAGTACTGGTAGTATGGAGTATTTCTAAACTGTGAAGTGTACCCTATGTTAAATAAATGGAATCCCAGTCAAGTTTAACAGCACATTTGGTACATACACAGGCTTGTAGAGGAGAAGTGCTTAATATTTGAATATAATTGTCAACATTCATTGCTTTTCACAAAAAAAAAACCTGCATAGATTTTGTTTTCATATTTCTCTAAAATTTCGATCAAAATCTATAGCTGAATAGAAATTATGCCAAACTGAAATTTTTGAAAAATGCATGAATAAAAGGAAAATGTTTCTTCAAATATTATAGGAAATGTAACTGTAAGAGTAGTATAATACTAATGTAAAATCTATATTAGAAACCAAGGCTTTTATTAAAATGCTACAATGCAGTATAGGGAATGTGGCTTCTATTAGAGCATCTACACGAATGAGAAATGGTGAATTTTCAGCTCTCAATTGTTCAGAACGTATGAACGCAATTTCTATTAAATATTTTCTAATACAGATTTAACAGTACTTCTGTTTTTGCTTTCAGTAGTGGTCGCACTAATATGTAAATGACAGAGGAGCGTCTATGGTCAAAATAAGTTATTTTTAATTATCCAGTATATAATAAACATGTTTGGCATTTAAGCTTCTAATTAGAGCAAATATGGTATATGCATAAGACATAAAAACATTCTCACCATCTACACAGACAATGTGCTCTTGGTGGGAAGTCATTTTCCATCATCATCAAATCTTCAACAGCTTCTGGAAGAATATCTACAGAGAGTAGGGAGAATAATAACTTAGGAGTTAAATAACTTCCACATTATATTGCGAGACCATTCAATCTGTCCTAGGAAAATTACGAATTTTATTTCTACAGCATTAACAAGTACATTTAAATAAATTGTTACAATATTAGAAGAACAGATGTTTACGTAAATGACTTTTAATAAAGTACAATTAATTGGCTTTTAATATACTTAAGTAACTTAAAAATAAATATTTTCGGCTGACATGTACATATGTTGGAGATGTGCTTTTAATAAAGCAAATATGGTACATGAAAAATGATGTTATTTTTTTTTTCTGCTTCTGTTCTAAATATTTTTAACAGCGTCTCTTGATAGATTCCAATTAAAAAGACATTCAATTGACACAGGTTTTATAAGTCAGCGCAATTACTGACTTATATTTTCTCTGGATTTAATGTCTATCGTCAAATTGAAATTAATTTGATGAACGTCCATCATAGTACACATGCGAATAATCCATTAGGAGTGTTTTACAATTTTAATTAGACAAACATTAAAGTAAAAGTAATTGCTTATGGTATGGATTAATTTAACCTCAATGATTTTTTAGATATCAATTGTCAAATTCAAGTTCATTCACATACAACACTAATTTAACTAATACAAATAGTTTATTGAATTTCTGAATACAAATTTTTTTGCTAGAGCAGTCTTTCCATCATAATAGCATTATGGTGCAGCATAGTCAAACACAAGGTCCTAGAAAAACCTAGACCATAGTTCCCCCGAAGTCGTATCTATTAGTCAATTCACTTTTTGCAATTTTAACCGCATGTAAAATATGATCTCAAAGCTACGAAATATGGTCTGGTGAAACAACTACTACTTTACTAGTGATTGTTAAATAATCAGAAAACCCTAACCTAGATAGATAACATCGTTAGGAACGTTCTTAACAATTTTTCAACTTTAATACCACACCTAGAATTTGATTTAGATTCTAATGTAAATTATTCAAACCAGTGTGCACAGTCCTCGCATACCTTCAGACTCTTCATCGTCCAACGTCAGATCCTTCTCATTGTACTCTTGTTTAAGTTTATACTCAGTGATAGTAAATGTAAAATTGGCATAGCGAACATTTGCACTTTTCTCCTTCCAAGAACCTATTGTATATTCTCCTTTTTTCACGGGTGGGTTTCTCTTTAATGTCGGTAATTTCCAGTCGTGCATGACTTCCTCTAATCTGGCAATGAATCTAGAATATGAACAGTAGTACATCAACAATTTGTATGTGTTTTTATTATGCTTGATTTCAGACAAAATATCCTAGTAAAAAAAAAGCAGAAGACCAAAAAATAAATGAGTAAAGAAGTCATTAAGGCAATGTACAATGGCACCAACTAGTTGTACAATATTCTGGTCTATTGCTGAAAAGGAGATCTCTGTTTTATATTACTTGTTAATTTATATGCAGTATTCTGATCCACAAGACAGAGACATGACAATCAGTTTATTGTTGATTAGACTAAATCATTGAAAAACACAGAACTATTAAACAAAACTGATTAATCAGTCAACTTGAATATAAGATTATTAAATTAGTGAGATAAATAGAAAATTCTGAAACCTCAGTGAATTTCTTTTTGAATAAAACAAAACAAAAGACAAAATACGCAAAATCCCTGTGATTGTTCTTAACTGATATTAAAGTAGAATTTATTATGTAGACAATACTATTAATAGAAACAACATAGTCATAGGACATAATTAGAAACAAGTAACATGTGCACAAATGAGAATAATGCATACTTTAATACTTTTTATTTATCTAGCATTTTCATGAATAATGAACATAATCAGGGCTGGAATTCATTTATTTTGGAAGACACTGATTGGGATAAAATAGTTCCAACCATGGATAGCCAATACTGCATTGCTTTTCTAACAAAATTATTTAGACACTTCACAAACAGGGATAATAAAAATAAAAAAAAAACAATGAATATTTCAGATGCATGCAGCAAATAGGTATTTTATGTAAAATGCACTTTAAATTGGGAAATATCTTTTCCTGATGTTTAATTTATTTTTCTGTTTTTTCTGCTTTTACAGTACAGTATACAAACTGACGTAGTTATTATAATTGTTTGCTGTTACTATGCAACCTAAGCTATGTGGGTGATTTCCTCCTCGCTACATAGTAACAACATAAATGCTTTAGTGTGCCTTGATGTATTTCAAAAAGGAAAGCGCAGTGGGACTTGTGGGTAAAATACAAGTGATTAATTGATTTACTTAACTATGCGTTAACTTTGTATATCAAATCTTAGTTTATGGGCATCAACATTTGTTTTTCTGAGATGACCATGATTTGGAAAAGAATATAATAATTAAATTGTTTAGTTATTCTTTATACAATACCCAAATGTTCGCTGGGCCAGAACACTATATGATGATGAACCATAAAACAGGATACCAGTATGTAACTGGATTTGCACCGTATAATAACAAAAACAAAACATCAACAAATTTGAGCGGTTCTATTTATTCTTTTTTTATTTGAGTTTCTTTTAAACTTGATAGTCAAATTTATAATACCTTTAAAATTATAACATTTTTTTTTTTATATTCATACATGTAATTTCTAATTAATAATTTAAACTATAGTGTACTAAATTGTTAATGTTTTTGAAACATTTTGTTTTCTCATACTACTATTCCGGTTTAGCATTAAAAGCACCTGCGTCGCCTTAATTTACATAAAAATACAATATTTATCAAATTTATGACATATTATATGTTGCTCTATGATTTGATATCGTACCTTTCCCAGTCAGAAGCAGTCGTGAAATCGGTGATCTCGAACACTTCGGACTCCTGAAAGTGAGAACAAATTAAATGTGATTAAAAACTGTTTCATTTCAGTATTTTTATATAAACATTGACGACTGGTATTGACAAATGCCGTAATAATGGTTTTACTGACCTGCCCGTCGTCCGCCATGTTTAGGTGATGTAAACAAGTGTGTTTGTTGTGTTTCTATTCTCCACGATTTATCCAAAGTATTTCCTCGATTTTGCTATATTGGAAAGGTCAAGTTCACAAAAGTTATACATCATTTATTTTGTGAATATTGTATTAATGACGTGAACTACGGTGTACTTATGTTCCAACTATGTTTGAGAAAACAAAATTTATCTTTGAGTACAGGCGCTACAAACTATCAAACATTTCAAAATGGCGGCGCCCATTGACAAGAAACCTTTCCACCCCGGCGCAGCACCTTTCGGGAATTTTATCAATTATTACTCATTCAATCCCCCGGAAAATAGAATCAAGTTATTGCCCAATAACTTCCTGCAAAAAATTTCCATCAACATGCATGATAGTCGGCTTGTGGCATTGGATATCGGGTGCAATTGTGGGGTAAGTCTGTCAACTTTGAAATGAGAATGTCTTGTTTTCAGGTCTCTTTTGCTGCGTCGGCGTCTATAATGTCGTTCCCAATAAAACAATCCCGTGAGAAAACATTGAATTGAGTTGCAAGGACCCAAATGAAATTTCTCTAGAAAGCGCTCTCTGTGACTATTTATGTTGAGAAATTACGTACAGTGTTAAATGTGCGTGTCCACTATTTCGTGAAGGTTTCTAGACAACTGGACCCCAAG